ACTCCCCCGCCACCCCAGCGAGATCCTGAGCAGCAAAATAATCACTTCCAGCATCATTATCCCTTGCAAACCCCAGCTTCCAATTTTAATCAGAGGAGCTGGTGTTGCTTTAAGATCTGCGGGTTTTAAAGATCACAAGAGGGGTTAGAGAAAATTACCCTTGACTCTTACATGCTAATGTAATCTCTAACCAGATCTGCAGCACTGCAGCTAAAATTGTTTTTTAGATTAACATTTAATTATTAACAGGGCCCCCTGAAAGGCCTGGGGCTGGAGCGTGCGGAGGGGAGCGGATTAGGTCAGAAGCCTCTTGGGTGACGCGGTCACCTCCTGTCCTTGTGCCGAACCCAAGCCCTGTCTTTTAATAGCCGCCGGGGGGGGAGACGTGGTGGCATGACTCAAACAGCTTCGCAGCATCCCCGTTCCTGCCCCCCTTCCACTCCCAGCCCCCAAACCTCCCTTTTTCCGGGCTTGCACCCCAGGCCGCCCTGATAACGCCCGGGGAAGGATGCGCACACGTTGCACTGGAGCCTGGATGGTAACCGAGACCTTGGCACCGAATTTTTTTTCAAAGCCAAAGCGCTGCCCCCGCCCTCCCCTCTGCCCTCGTGCTGCCCGGCCAGCAGCGCAGACCCACTTCAGGCTGAGACTTTAAAAGTTCCCTTTTTTTTTTTTTCTTTTTTTTTTTTTTTTTCCTTCTTCCCCCTGTCACATTTTCTTTTATCTAAATCCTCGCCTGCGAAAGCCTCTATCGACAGCTGCGCTGGCCTTATCTCGCCGGAGGGACCTTCGCGGGGCTCTCGGAGGAGATAAGCCCGACTTATCAGCCGCTGATGTCAGAGGAGGTGCCAAACCCTCCCGTCACGGGGGCTTTAGACATAGAGGGTGTTTTTTGGGGGTTGTGTTTTGTGGTTTTATGTTTTTTTTATATTAAAGTCACAAAGACCTTGGGCTTATAAATAGAGCGATGGTAGAGATAGAGCTTCGAAATTAGCTGTCCCGGAGTGGGGGGCGGGAAGGAGCGGTGGGAGAGGGGCTGGGGAAGGATGGAGGGGGATGGTGGTGGG